GAGGAATAAAGGAATACGGCTATTAATTTTAATAATTAATGTCTTGGGGATAATTATAATTAATTAATAAAAAATTCAAGATAAATATTGCGTTCTTAATGCAGAATTAGAGTAATAAATTTCATTTCATTACTACCCTTTTAGCTTGGTCCCTTAGAACAAATAATGGAAAAACCCTAGATATATCCCCTTTTTGGCCAAAGAAATCTAGATATATTAATACCCAAAATTGAGGGTTTTTTTTTTTTTTTGGCATGGTGGAATGTAAACTGCAATCTCTTTTAGAATTTGCAAAATCTCATTAAAGTACTTGTATCTAGGGTTGAAGTATATTCATTAAAGTTGCTTCTAGAACCATGTCTCCATCTACTAGACTACTCCTATGTTAAAAGACGTCAATACCCTAAGGGAAATGAAAAACATTAAAAAAAAAAAAAAGAAGAAGGCAGAAAGAAAATGTTACCCATCAACAATCTCTTCTCTGCAACTTAGAGACAGGACAAAATAAATTTGGAGTCTGCACTGCTGAAATTAAGATGTAACACTTCTAATTTTCAACAGAAAATCTAACATGTAACACTACTAAGTGTTGCAGATACACAAAATAGTATAGAAATAACAAAGTTAACAATTCCTCATAACACAATGGCACATTGGAGAAATTACATGAAAAATGAAAGAAGTCCCATTATTTGTAAGGGAAATGGAATCTTATCCACTAAGTAACAGAGGCACTAATCTTGTGGATGAGTAATCAGATGCTGCCTGGTATTCCCATCGTTGTGGATGTCACTTCTTGGAATGATACCTGCATCACCATCCACTGTCATATAGGATTATGGCTGAAAATGCTAGTTGAGTTTAGTGCCACTGTCCCATGGAACTACGTCTCTTGCATTAAACTTGATTAGATCGCCAAATTTGAAGCCTAGACAATGTTGGGATTCACATTATTGTTTGCATTTCCATCCCTGCCTGTAATTACTTTTCCTGGCTCGTCAATATTTATAACTCCATGATCAAAACTTTCCTCCATTTTCTGTTCAGATGGTTCTATTTGCACTTCCATTGATGTGGATGACGTTTTGTAATCCTTGCCTTTTCCCCACAGCACAAGATACAGACCCACAATTATGGTAATGGCACCGATCACCCTGTCCATCGTCCAAATATAAAATTGGTTAGTTTATTCAGGCTTTAAGCTTCATTTCTGTGAATGTATGTTATGGTTTTAGCATTATTGGTACATACCTTCCCAGGAACATTTGTTCAGCCAAAATGAAGGAGGACAAGACAGCAACAATAACCATGCATAGGGGACTAAAAGCTGTCACAAAAACAGGCCCTCGTTCTTTCATTACTATTCCTTGAATGTAATAAGTGAGTCCAGAACAGACTATCCCCTGCAGACAGAATTCCATCCAATGTCAAAAATGCTTCATATCAAACTGAGTCTAAAGAGAGTTATGTGTGTGGTTTTAAGCCGGAGTAGGGTGTTTTTCTTACACTATAGGTAGCTGTGAGTAATTTGGTGTCCCAGTTAATAGCCCACACAGAGGGTTCCCCCCCTTCCATCACCAAGGCCGCAATGGATCCCTCAATTGTACCCAGCAGACATATCCAAGCTGTAAGAGAGAGCTCTGCTGGGTATGTTTCTAGTGTAACTGCCTAATTAAGGAAAAAAAGAGAGAATGTTATATAAACTTGGGAAACATGTTTTTCAGTTTGGACTAGCTGAGAAATATGTCAGTTTGGACATGGAAAGACATGCTTTCCACCCAGAAAAACATATTTCTTTGTGAACATACAATTTATTAGAAAATTGTAAGTATCTTTAAGGTAGGTTAATTGTCATCTTACTTGCAGAATTATGAAACAAGCATAGCTGAAGCAGCCAGCCACAATCATCAAACCACCCTTAATTGAACTATGGACATCCGTCCTATTTGTTGCTTGTAGATGCGTTCTTCCTTCTGTCCAAATTAATGGGATCAATGGTCCTCTCACCATTGTCATCACCATTGCTCCTGCAACTGTTGCTAGTGTCCCGACTAGCTTAGCATGGCTGTGGATGGATTTAACCTTTACCTTCTCAAGTCTACAAAAAATAGACCAATGTTAAATATGAACTAGAAAAAAATAGTCATTTCTTTTTTTACTAATTTAATTATCTGATGTAACTTTTTGATTGTGGAACTTAGAATTTACCTAACAGCCCAAGCCAAGAGGAAGGTGATAGCAGGGAGGACATTGTACATGGCAGTTGCAAATGTTGCTGTTGTGTACTTCATCCCCACATAATACAGGTTTTGGTCAATCACAGGCCTGCAAAGAAATTGAAAGACGACATTGTCACAAATAGCTTAAACCACAGGAAGATTTTATTATTTTTGTATAATTCAGATATTTACTCCAATAAGCCAAGCACTGTTATCTTGATGAAGATTGCAACTGTCATCTTCGGCCTCGCTTTCCTGTAATCAACAAGAAATATCATTTGTACTTCAGTTCTACGCCTAACTTTCACAACCTTTTCATAGTTAAAAACAACAAAGAGACAGAAAGACAGACTTGTCAAAAATGACAGCAAAAGGAGCAGTGACAATTGTGGCAACTGCATGGCGGTAGACAACAAGCACGTAGTTGCTCATCCCCTTGTTCAGCGCCACCTTGGACAGGATATCCATCCCGGAAAGTCCTATTTGCAGGAAAATAGCAGCAAGGTATGGCTTAATCTTTCCCAACGAATCCATCTCTCCTGTATCTACAATGAGTATGGTATTATATGAATCCACAATTGATTCCGCTGCCAATTTATAAAAACAATAAGTGACTCTGATCACTCCCACTTGTGGTGGGGGAATCTTACTATTTATATTGGGATGTGGTTCCACTCCCACTAAGTATATATGGAACTAATCTGACGTCAACTTTTTTAACGTGCACCGGACGGATATCTGTTTGTAACCATGAGTATGGTAATGTTGCAGTAAGGTTGTAACTTGTAATTATATATTAAGCAAAGTTTATTTCACCTTTGTGATTCTTTTCCCTAAAGCTGCCTGATAGCGTTCCATGACTTGTGCAATACTTTTTGAAGCATTTGAGAGTTGAGACCCCATTAAAGAGATTCCCACGCTAGTGTTTAGGATAATCCCAGACGTAAGTGCTGAGCTGCCGCTAAATGATTGTTGGGGTTCACATGTGAGTATGGAGTTTTAGATTAGATAGATATGATTAAAAGACAAATATATACGTGGAGACGCATGAACTAGACTAGACGATGTCTAAAGCATATTTATTAATGGCTGCATTATTTCAGGGGTGACATGATATGTAGATAGTTCAAGACTTCAAGCTAAATGGGTCTTTATTTTCTGCATTAATAGGGTGGAAGCAAAGGATGAAGTGATGACCACAAACATGGAAAAATCCAATAGCATTATTGGAGAGCTGATTTTGCCTTTTTTAACAAAATGAAAGTGTGATAGAATCACTTTCATATCTTTCTTCTGCTTACAGTATATCTTTTGTTTCCAAAAAAAATGGTCAAGTTTGAATCGAGCACCGCATGGCCTCCTTTTTTCATGGATTACACCTCCATTCTTTGTTTTGTTATACGCACTAGCTCAAAGCAATGACCCCATTACCTCGTCCTTGTGCTTTCCAAGGTTCAGTGTGATGAACCTCATTTTCCAATCACACATAAAGGATTAGAGTTCTGTTGAGTGAGATAACTAAGGTGTGTGGTTAAGCATAGGAGGAAAAAGAGGAGGAAAAGGGGGCGAAATTCAGGCTTTCAGCTAATAAGAGCGCACACTGATTGGAGTAGAAAGACAGCAACGTGTATGGAGTACAGGTATGTGTAATTGATCTTCTGATGGATTTTCTTCTCAGGTGTTTCTTACGCTTATCCAGAGAACAAACAAGCGAAACCAGGCTCATGATCTATGATAGTGGCAAGCAACAAGTTCGTGTTTTGTTTCTTGCCCTCCCAAAAGTAGCAAAGGGTAATAACTTGATAAATGCCTTGACAATAGCAATCGCTTAACCAAAAAATGGAGTCCAGCTTAGAAACAACTACTTACAAAAATTATGATAGGGTGTTAGTCATTGTGCTCGTATTAGTCATAATGATATCTAAATCATAATGATATCTAAATCATAATGATATCTAAATCATAATGATATCTAAATCACATGCAATAATGGGCTTCATTCGTGAGTCGTGAATCACACTCACACTGGCCCACTCACTCCACAGGTGAGGCCACGAGAGTGGTTCTCGAGTATGTCAAACAATCCTCTATTCCTCCATGTGCTGCTGCCCAATCTCTTTGTGGGGTTCTTACCTAGAATTGGAATTTGCTCAACACACATATCCGAGACATGGGAACTTGGTGAAATAGAAAATACTATAATTATTATATAATTAACATTTTATTTAAAAATTCTTTCGTTATATTATTCTCATGTAAAACTTATTTAACACACACTACAATTATAAATTTATAATTTTAAGTAATATTATAACTATAACATTACTGTTTTGAAATTGATTGGTACACTGGACATGTGTAATTTCGGAGTTTCTATTAAGCTTTAGGGCAGGCAGTGCGACCATCATAATGTTTATTTCCAATTAAGCGCACAAGAAAAGGTTTAAAGAAAAATAATCTACTATAATTAATTTCGACAATACGAAGGGTCTAACATTCACACCCAAAGTGTAGCAGATATGAAATAATGAGGTAGAACGATACAAACAGGAATATAACTGTAACAAAAATTAGTTTTCGACCACGATGGCTCCTTTGAGAATGTTGTCTTAAGATGACATCCTTGACATGGTTTGCTTAAGAACCGCAGCAAGCAGACTTTTGAGCAGCTTGAGCTGCCCCTCCTGCCTGAGCTGGTTGATTAATTTTGATTGTCGACGGCTGCAGACACCCAACAAAAGTATTACTTAGAGTACAAGACAACGACAACATGAATAATGAATCATGTCAATGACAATAAGGGGCTCTTTGAGCTGAAATTATATTTATTCAAAAGAAAAAGGTTGAGGATATCAGTGCCCCACAGCATAAAATAAACTGACAGGTACAATATATTATGACAATTGCAATAGAGCATGATAAAAGGAAATAAAAAAGATCCATACTTGTGAAAAGGAAGTTGGGAATCTTAAGATGAATGCTACCCTAGTGATATATTTCAAAGATATTAATGTACAATGCAGTTCCAGTCATGTACAACATTGATACCAATACTAATTGGACCCCAGTGATAAATTTGATAATGGATAATATTTCAAGAATCACACAAGTCATACCTCAGCTTTTGAGTCACTATCTACAAGTCTTTGCTTGATATCCCTAGCTATGGAAAAGAAAACCTCCTCAACATTTAAGTTTGTCTTTGCACTCTGTAAATCAAAGTATCTTCAACATAAATAGAGGACAACTAATTTTCAAAAGCAACTTCATCATTAGCAGAAAAAATTAACATACAGTTTCAAAGAATTTGATGCCATATTCATCAGCAAGAGCTTGGCCCTTTGAGGTGGGAACAGCCTGGAAAGAGAAAAAAAAAAGGGTTGCTTGTCATCTTCAAGAGAACAATATTTTGGCAAATAAACAAGTATCAGAAAGCCTGCAAGCAACACACGTGTGCATAAAGAGAGAGAACTAACCCTTTTGCTTTCATCCATATCAGCCTTATTACCCACCAGAATCTTGTTCACATTGTCAGAGGCATGTTGTTCAATGTTACGGATCCAGTTCCTGATATCTAAGCATAGATGGAAATGGTTTAATAACAAGCAAAAATCCAGATGAGAAAGTAAAATTTCAGAATAAATTTGATGAGGATTCATTTAAACAAAAGTAAAGTAAGTACCATTTTTAACATTGCAGAACTAATAGCAGAAAATAGGTTGTTGGAAATTAGGACACAGTTTCAAAGATCCAAAGTTAAAGAAGATCCAATGACACATGCGTAGCAATCAAAATGTCTAATGATAAAAGTAGAGTAATTACTATTGAAAGATGACTCGTCAGTGACATCATACACAAGCAAGATACCCATGGCTCCACGGTAGTAAGCTGCAAAAGGAGAAAACTAATTAGTCTTTGCAACATAAAAGATTCTAGAAGACAAACTATATAGATTGGTAGATCCTTGAGATTTAATGTTGTTACATATGCTCAGCAATCCATAGAGACTCAAACCTGAAGTCTAAAATTAAACAAAGCTAGATAAAAGCTGAATTTAGTGAAGCTAGATGCTTAGGCTTCTAAGAGACGACGAATCTTGAATTTTCAACACTTGGAAGGAAAAATTACCATGTACATTATGCATGGCTAGCAACCTGCATGCGTGATGACCTAAGGCTAAGGGAAGCCAAGGATTTTTTATTAGTTTGCTTGGGATGCAGGATGGGTGACAAATTAACTTGATTAAGACAAATCATTGAAGCATATTACAGTTCACTGAAACACAGTGGCAACACACAACATGCTCAGCCCATCATTGACTTTATTCAGTTCA